TTTTTTTTTTTTTTTTTTTTTTTTTTTTTTTTTTGAGGGGGGAGTGACGGTCTGGAAAAAGAATACTCTCTGAAGACTTGAGAAATTGATTATAAGAATGGATGTCACCTTAGAAGCTTTGGGGGGATGTATTTAAAGGCATATGGCGGTTTTTGTAATTGATTTAAATTGCATAGCCATAATACAATCAGGTACTTGCTTTGTTAAATATTAGATTTTCTAAAATATCTAAAAAAAGAATACAACGAAATCTGAGATTACTGTCATTTCTATGTGCACTGGCAAGAGATTGTAACGGATGTTTGCTGGGATAAAAAAAATTAACATATCATGATCTTGAGAGCGCTTTTGGGTTCAATGCCTTGAATGCATGAAAGAGTTGAAGGTGACTCGGGGGAAAAAAGTTTCATGCCGGTTAAAGGCAAACACACACACTTTCAAGCACGCACATACCCAATTTGTACTTTAAAAATAAATTATTTGGTGCCCCTTCCTTCTGGACATTTTTGCTGTACATCAATGGACCACGTGTGTACTGAAATCCCCTACTCTCTCTTCTGTCTGGAAATTTCCATGGCCACATCGTAATATTTCAACCCAAGTGGACCAACTTATACATAAATCTGGTAAAAGTACCTTTCTAGGAAATCTATGGCCGGGGTCTGCCGGGATTGCTAGGATTGCTTTGATATATACGCGTAGGTTAACAACCTTTCATATTCGAGGACTCAAACCTTTGCCCTTCCATATTTGGTTATCTCCAGCTTGAAATTCGCTATCATCACAATGCGAACCTAATAAAAAGTACATTGTTTGTTTATTTGTTGGATTTCTACCGTTTTATATTTAGTTTATTTTCTTTTTGAATACCCTGTGCCCGTTTAATGTATACGTAAAGGCGGTTTGTATTTAATTTTCTATTTCTGCCAAAAAAATTACATTTTTGTGCCAAGTGAAATAAATAATAAATGTATGTTATACACACAATGGACGATAGAAGTGTCACCCCCTGATTCAGAGTAATCAAATAATAATCAAGTAGTCAATAATCAAAGTAGGCAGATCTTGAGTAGTTATAATGCCTGGTCAACATTTTTTTTTTTTGTGAAATTTGATGTTAATAAAATGATACCAGGAGCATATCATTCCACATTTATCTCCCCCAAAATATTGGATCAGTAGGAATGACATTTCTGTTGTCCATTGTGTGTATGTGTACAAGATAAATGAAGAGAGAGAGAGAGGGTGGTAAGATATATAACTGTAAGTTATCTTCATAGTGAGAAATACTATAGAGTGGCCGGTGATAAAAACATGCACCAAAAGATTGCGGATTTTTCTTTCTTTTAATCAGTTTTACTTTTCTTTTCTGTGAATAAATGTTGGATTGGTTTTGACTCATTTTAGAATCCGGTATTCGTTACGGAAATCAAATAAAATGTAGGCCTATATAACTTCATCTGAAACATAATACAAACATAACAGAATAAAAGCTATCTTATTTTTTCCCGCTCGATACTTAATGCTTAGAAGTGACCGAAGGTCAAAAAGTAAGAAAAGTCTAATGACCTTACACGTGCCCTTACTCACACCAGTTCAAAAGGGTAGACACATGAACACTGTATATTTGTCTATTTGCTGCTTTAGGTCCAAGATCTATTGACCGTTTCTCTCCTCGAATGACCAATACTGCACGAAGAGCACCTGTGCTAGCATATTGTTGCCATTATCAATAAATCGATTCTCGACCAGTAACCGTAAAAAAGATGGACTTCGCCACAGCTGGACGGTCTATTGGCTGCGATCTTTCACGTAGACCAAATAAATAACGCAAATTAATGGTCCTCTTAACATTGACCGCTGCAGCCCTTTGTTGGAAACTCAACGCTACCTCAACAGCTATCTTACTTGATTAATAAATTCAAATGAAATAAGAAGATATGTCGACATGGGTCTTCTTATTTGTTTTCTAAGCTGTTATTACACGGTTAAATTCTGGTACTTCATTATAGTGTTTAGGCTTGATTTTTCTGGACAATTTATATGACCTTCAAAGACCGGTAATTCTCTTAACCGCATACCATTAATTCGGTTAATCGTTTCCCATTTACAATGTATAAATCTTTTTTGCATGCCCACGTATTCCTGGCTATATAAACTCGGATTTTTCAGTGGACAGTAACTTTTAGAGTAATTCGGGTTCAGGGAAGCTCAGTACTCCTGTCTAAATTTCTTAGAAAGTTTTTTCTCTTTTCTTTAAAAATATATCCAACATCGCCATGGCTTTCGCACTTCCAGAACCATTCAAGTGGGACGATTCCTTCGCTGTTTTTGTAAGTATTAGTTAGATATTTTTGGTAGTAGCATTTCCAGATTACGAACCCTTCGTAATTTTTGTAAGTAGGATTGGGCCGCTTTGGTAGTACCGGGTCCAGATTGCAGGAACAAGGACGAGTTCAACTGATCTGTTAGAAAATGACAACTTTGC